CACCTGGAGAGTAAGCATTCAACACAGGAGCCTGTGTAGGAAATTCTTATCCAAACCATAACTCTTGTGAATGAGGCACAATAAGTAAATAAAGTTATTTCTTTCAAAAGGAGTGTAGTGTGCAGCTTAATGGGGTAATTAAACACATATGCTGCTAACGACTTGTGCTATAAATATATAGCTGTGAAAGCAAAGGCCACTGGATCTTTTCAAGAAGTTGCGCTCCTCGGGACCCGGGCTGCGGTGAACACTAATGCCCAGCAGAGGGCGCTCTGGGCCTGTGCGCTGTCCTCATCAGGACCCGGGGTGCGGTGAGCACTGATGCCCACCAGAGGGCGCCCTAGGCTTGCACACTGTCCTCTCATCAGGACTCGGGGTGCAGTGGGTCCCGATTCCCACCAGAGGGCATACTAGGCGTATGTGCACTGGCCTCCTGGCCTCAGGACCTGTGGCATAGAAGACATGCAGAGGCCACGTCCTATGGACTATGAGTCCCGGCACCCTGAAGCTGAGAAAGCGCACAGGTGAAGTGGTTCTGTCTGACTCCATTCTGGGAAAATGATCAGGGTCGGATTTAGAGTTGCTTCAAATAAAACACAAAATGAAATGGATACCATGGATGTATTACAGTAACAACTAGGACCTGAAATATATATATGTATTGGTCCCCTCGTGGGGCCTGAACTCTGGGCCTGGGCGCCGTCCCTCAGCTCTTCGGCTCAAGGCTAGTGCTCTACCACTTGAGCCACAGCGCCACTTCCGGCTTTTTGCTTTTTGCTTATGTGGTGCTGGGGAATCGAACCCAGGGCCTCAGACATGCAAGGCAAGCGCTCTACCACTGAGCCACCTTCCCAGCCCCTGATCTATTAACCTCTAGTACATTGCAGTGCACATTGAAAAGTTCCACAAAATGTAAAATGCTTTTATGGGGATATGTGAGGACTGGTTTTTAGTGTTAACATCCTCCCTGTCTTAAATGATACTTGACTAGATGATAATGATTAGCTATAACTGATTTATACTATAAAGGATTTAAACATACATAAGGGTCTAGGGTTGTTCTGACACACCACTGCAGACTGGGTTGTTTAGAGATCTGTGTTCATAGCTGTGAAGTTTAGCAGCATGGAATATGTGTCTTCTGGGCCACATTCCCTCAGGAGGTACAAGGCACTGTGAGTTCTAGGTCTTCTCTCAGCTTCTGAGCCTGTGAGAGCAGAGTGACGTCTCTGCAGAGGATCATCCCTGGGTGCATTTCTGGGACCCGATTTCCCCCTTTTAGGGACACAATAACAACAGGAACTGGAGTTGATCTTCTGCCAAAGCCTACTTCCATATAAGGTCACATTCCCAGGTATTGGGTGATGAGAGCATGCATACATGAACTTTGGGAACACAACCCATTACAATGTACCTGCCTCTGCTGGGCAGCCTCTACCTCCATATTTTACCTCCCTATTGATGGGGCTCCTATGGAGCCCCATCTCCTTCCTGGCACCCAGCAGATCACTGCTGGCCCTGACTGCTGGCTTGAGCTGACACTGAGAATTCACTGAGAGCTGGTGTAGGGCAAAGGGTCTCCTAGACTGTTAAGGTCCCAGACTGTGTGAGGAAAACTATGCCGAGAAGTTGACCCTTTACTAAAAACAAAGAGAGGCCATGAAGGGAGACCTTAAAACCTATTTCACATGGAATTCCCCCCTATGTCATACCCTGCCCAATTAGAACGGTGCCTGCCGTGCAACGTTGTGCATTCCACCCCGTGATCGATTGCCTCCTGCTTCAAGGGAGTCGATGCTTCGGTGTGCACATTGCGCATCCTCCTGTAGCTATCTCTGTAATAAAGCTCCTGTAGCTGTCTTTGTAACAGGCCCCAGCTTCAAGGATGCAGGGCCTATAACATCATGTTTCCAGAATATACAAACCCCAAGAGTAAGAATATCCACTTGCTTTGTGTGGGGACCCCAAATTTGCCCGCCAATGCAAGCCAGAATGATAGGTTAGTTCAAACAGTTCCTAGGAGTCGGACTGTAACCCACCAGCCACGGACATAAACATGCAACCCTTATGTGCTGTTACAATCCCGTTGGCCACCTGTGCGTGGCCAGGCGTGGATGTTGCCTTTAAAAACCCTAGCTTGTGGGTTGTTCGGGGTCGCAGTTTCAGCTCCCGAGTCTGTGCTGCGTCCCTGGCCGGTTAGCTCTCCACTTCCCCAAGAAAGTCATCTTTTTAAGTGAGGCTGTCTGAACAGTGGACTTTTCCCCCCGTAACACTGGGACAAGACTGCTCTGGGGTTGGGACACTACAGTTTGCAGCAGGACCAAACAGAGGCTGGTCTGTCTCTGGCACTGAGGCTTTGGGACACTTCATCAGGGCTTCAAGTTTTCCAGGGTCCTGGGCAGAAGTAGCTGCAGCTACAGGCTAGGAGGAGGAGTGGAGCACTGCAGGGGTGGGGCAGGAGCAGGAAGTGAGCGGTCCAGGGGCGGGGCTGGTGGGACGCCAAGGGTCCTGAGGACAGTGTGCATACCTAGAGCACCATCTGGTAGGAAGCAGTGGTCACTGCACCTCTCTGGTCCTGAGATGAGGAAGATCATGTGCAGGCCTAGAGCACCATCTGGTGGGTAACATTGGTCACTGCATCCCCTGGACCTGAGAAGAGGAGGATCATGTACACAGCTAGACCACCATCTGGTGGGAATCAGCGCTCACCGCACCCCTTGGTCTTGAGGAAAGGAGGACGGTGAGCATGACTAGGGCACCCTCTGGTGGGAAACAGCCCTCATTGCACCCCTGGTCTTGAGAAGAGGAGCAAGGTGCTCACCTGTCTAGCGTGCCCTCGGGTGGGAATCAGCTATCACCGCACCCTAGGTGCTGAGGAGAGGAGGACAGTGTGCAAGCCTAGAGCACCCTCTTGTGGGAATCAGTGCTCACTGCATCTTCTGGTTTTGTGGGCGGAGCAGAGCAAGAAGTGAGCAGTGCAGGGGTGGGCTTGTGGGAGGATCTGGGGTCCTGAGGAGGACAGTACACACACCTAGAGCACCATCAGGTGGGAATTAGTGAACACTGCATACCTGGCCAGGACAAGAGGAGCACAGTGTGCACACCTAGAGCGCCCTCTGGTCGGAATCAGTGCTCACTGCCCCTTCTGGTCCTGAGAAGGACAGTGTACATACCCAGAGCGCCCTCTGGTGGGTATCAGTGTTCATTGCACTCTCTGGTCCTGAGAAGAACAGTGCACACACCCAGAGCGCCCTCTGGTGGGAATCATTCTTAAAAGCAGCCATCAATTAAGAAAGCGTTAAAGCTCAACACTTCACTCTACTTTATCCACTGCAGCCCCTGGTCCTGAGAAGGACCGTGCACACACCCAGAGCGCCCTCTGGTGGGATTCAGTGCTGACTGCATCCTCTAGTCTTGTGGGAGGAGCAGAGCATGGAAGTGAGGGGTCCAGGGGCGGGGCTTGTGTAGGGGCAGAGAATGATAGGGGTGGGGCAAGAATGAGTCCAGAGGTGGGGCTTGTGGGGAGGCAGAGCACAGGAGGGGTGTGGCAAAGGAGAAGTGAGTGGTGTATGGATGTCAGTCAGGGTACATATTAGGGTGTGTGATGGAGTATATGTTAGGGTACATGTATGTGTCAGGTTACACATTTGGGATACACATAAGACGGTTACCTGTATGGTTTGGACAATGTATTAGAATTTAGAGTATTTATTAGGGTATGTGCTACGTTTAGGGTAAATGTGAAGTTGTAGTTTGTTAGGGTACATTCAGGGTACAGGTACAATTTAGAGAGTATGTGAATGGGTACTTGTTACCATATGGGTTCGTGTCCAGAGCATGTTTATTGTATTACAGTATATTGGGAATCTGTTAGGTTTAACATACATGTGAAAGTGATGGCACATATTAGGGTATGTGTTTGAGTCCATGTCCATGTATGTGTTAGAGTTAGGGCACTTGATAGGGGATTTGTTAGGGTTACGGTACATGGTAGAATGTGTGTTAGGGCACATATTAGGGTATGTATTAGAGTTAGCATACTTCACAGGGGATTCGTTAGGGTGAAGGTACATGTTAGGATATGGTTGAGTCACATGTTAGGGTACATTAATTTTTTTAAGTATGTGTCAAGGTACTTGGGGTATATGTAAAGGTCAGAGTTAGAGTATGTTAGGGTACATTCAGGGTACATGTAAGGTTACCTGTACGCTTTATAGAATATGTGTTAGGGTATTTGTTATTATATGCGTGTCTAGAGTATGTTTAATGTGTTAGAGTACTATTGGGAAATCTGTTGGGGTTAAAATACATGTTAAAGTCAGGGCACATATTAGGGTGTACATTGGGTTACTTTAAGGTACAAGTTTGAGTGTATTTAAGGGTATTTGCATGGTTTTGAATAAGTGTTAGGGTCCTTGTTAGGGTTTAGAGTACAGTTAGCAAACAGGGTATGTTTTGTGCACATGCTAGGGCACATGTATGACTTGAAGTACATGTTAGAGTACTTGTTAGGATACATGAAAATGTTTAGAGTGTGTGTTACAGTATGTGTTTGGTTGTGTGTTAAGGTTACAGTTATGGTTTGGGTTAGGCAACATGTTAGGAAGTATGTTGGGATAAGTTTAGGGTACTTGTTAGGGTATATGTAAGCTTTACAGTACATGATAATGGTTAGGGTCTGTGTTAACCAGTGGGGTACATGTTAGAGCATTTGTTAGGGTTTGGCTTAGAGTTAAGGTATGTATTATGGTATGTTTGGGGTACATGCTAGTTTACCTAACTATAAGAGTACTTGCATGTATTAGAGTGCATGTAGGAGTCATTGTTACCACACATTTTAGCGTTTAGAGTGTATGTTATGGCATGTGTGTGAGTTAGAATGAAGTTTATGGTATATGTCAGGGTTCGTGTTAGAGTTAGGGTATGTGTTAGGGTTAAAGTATACGCTATAGTGTATATTAGGGTTATGGTTTGGGTTAATTAAGGGCACGTGTTTGGGTATGCGGTAAGGTGAATTTGAGGTAGATGATAGGGTGTACGTAAATGTGCCTGTATGGTTTACAGTACTTGTTAGGGTACTTGATAGAATGTGACACTGTTTACTATATTTGTTAGGGTACTTATTAGGGTATGTGGTACAGTTTAGGGTTTTAGAGTAAGGTATGTGTTAGGATAACTGATAGGGTACATGTTGGAGCATGTGCTAGGGTTGGGGGTTAGGGTCAGAGTCAGGGTCATTGTCAGTGTTAGGATTTTATCAATCTGGTGAGGTTAGGGCTAGCATTTGGATTATGGGAATAGGTCAGGCTTAAGGTCAGGAAAGGGTGTAGGGAAAATATGGTAGACAAAGGGTGAGGTTGGGGATGCACTTGAGGAAATGTTAGAGTAAGGGTCCAGGAAAGGTTTAGGGTTAGGGAATGTGTGAGGAAGAACTCTGTGGGATGGGTTGGGGTTATGGATATGGTATGAATATGGAGGCTCAGTGGTACAGCGCTTGCCTTGCATGCCTGAGGCCCTGGGTTCGATTCCTCAGCATCACAGAAGCAAAAAGAAAAAAAGCCGCAAGTGGCGCTGTGGCTCAAGTGGTAGAGCGCTAGCCTTGAGCTGAAGAGCTGAGGGACAGCGCCCAGGCCCAGAGTTCAGGCCCCACAACCAGACCCAAAAATAAATAAATAAATAAAAAAGTAAAGCAAAAAAAAAAAGGAGTAATTTTTTTTCTTTGCTGAGAAGAAATGCCGTCTGGCGCTCCATCTGGTGGTCTGCGCCTCCCTTCAGAGTTCTGGCTTGGCCAGGTGCAAGCTGGGAACAGAGCAGCGGATGGAGCGAGGAGGCGCCGCTCCTGTGCTCTGGAGAGTCCCTGGAGCTGGTCTGTTCTACGGAATCCAGTGGGGCCAGGCGGGGCATGCCCGGCAGCCCCCGGCCGGCCCGTCAGCATGTGCCCACCTCTCTGCGCCGCTCAGGGAGTTCAGCTCCTGCTCTGGCTTTTCTGTGGCAAGCCTTTCCCCCTCCACTGAGGCTGCCGGTGTACCATACCCTTCAGAGTGCGTAGAGCACAGCCTTGTTCCCTTCCCGAGGCTTAAGTTTAAGAGGCGCTGTCAAATCCACCACCAAGAATGCTTCTCCCTACCTGAGCGCCTGACATGTGGTACCTCCTGACCTTTTTTGGAAGTTGGGAGAGTCAAAGGCAAGGTGGTGAGTGTTCACGTAGCTAGGGGTCGTGAGGACATGGGACTTGTCCAGCGAACGCACTGATGTGCTGTTCCTTTTTTTTAACCAGTGTTTGTCCAGCACGATGCTGCTCAGCTCTACCTCACGTTCTGGAACCTTCTTAAGGATCAAATAGATGATGTGGACTTGGTAAGAGCTGAAGCTGGAATCCCAGGACCTGTAGAGGTCGCTCACCATTGTGCATTTGTAGTAAGGGATCCGTGGAGACCGCTTGCCACGGTTCCTGGTGTCCTTCCCGGTACCTGCCGGGAGCGTCAGGGCTCGTCAGTCCAACAGGTCCAACTGTGGCCATAGCCTCACCCGTCCTTGGCGCCTTCTTGCAGGTAGAGAGGCTGCAGGCCCTGTACACGATCCGGGTGAAGGAGTCCCTGGTTTGCCTCCTCTGTACCAGAGAGAGCAGTAGGAACAGCAGTATGCTGACCCTCTCCCTCCCTCTCTATGACGTGGACGCAAAGCCTCTGAAAACACTGGTGAGAGACTGGGTGAGAAAGGGTCGCCCAGCAATGCCATTTCCCCCCGCCATGCCAGTTCCCCGTGTCCTTCCACCCGCGGACACTAACAACTCTGTTTCACTTGCACGGCTCTAGGTGGCCAATTTCTTTGAGCAGCAGCAGAAGTTCTATCCTGTTTCTCATTTTCTCACCCTCGTATTAACCAGGGCTCCTTGTGTTTTCTCGTCCAGTGGGTGGAAGATCCTGACAGATGTAGCGCTGTTAGTGGGGTGCTTGGGGGACTGTGGGGGAACCTGCAGCGGAGCTCAGCCCTCACCTGTGGGGTGGCCGCGTGCCCATGGAAAGGGTCTGCTGACGCGGCCTTTCCCTGCGGCCTCCGCCGGCAAGAGGAGGCCCTGCGCTGTTTTTTCCACCCCAGGGAGTTAGCCAGCAAGAGCAAGTGGTTCTGCGAGGCCTGCGGGACGAAGACGCGTGGAAGCCAGGTGCCCACCCTCAGGTTCAGATGCGTCTCCGGGGCGGGCTGTTGCTGGGCCACGGCTTTCCAGACACTTCCGGACCCTTCCTGATGGCGCATGGGGTGGGATGTGGGTGAGGCTAGTTCAGACCCTCGGGCTTCTCATAGACGGGGCTGTGGATGTCGCTTCTTGACCACAGTCTTCCACCAGGAGTGGCAGGTGACGGCATGGGGCTGGGTGGGGGCGGTGGGGTTTCCTCTTTGGTTTTAGAGACGCTCCCTACAGCAGACTCCTAGTTTCTGAGGGCCAGGCACCTCTGCGGAGCCCTGAGCAGCTCACGGCTTTTGTCTGAGGTCCATAGTGCTGTGCCGGCCAAGCGTCCCCTGAGTCTCCGGGGAGAGGAATGGATTCTGCCATGGAAGCCTTCAGCTCCCCAGTGTGTTCCCCGCACCCCTCCCCCCGGGGAGGAGAACGAGCCACCAGGCCCGGCGTTTCTCAGGATATTCCCGCAAGCGCCTCGGGGCCCCGTCTCACAGTGAGTTTTGCTTTTGCAGGTCTTGAGGATGACGCATCTGCCCCAAACCCTGACCCTTCACCTGATGCGATTCTCCATTCGGAACTCACAGACGGAGAAAGTCTGCCACTTGCTGCACTTCCCTCAGCGCTTGGATCTCAGTCAGGTTCTTCTGGCTGAGCATCAAGACTTCACTGAGGACGCAGAGCAGGTGAGGTGTTCTGGATCGATCCTACCAGACGCGGCGTCCTCCAGGTTCAGCGCTCTTACCCCTCGACTGCTAGATGGCACCGACTGGTGACTCCCCTGGTTCAGGCTCCCCAGGCCCGGGTTAGCGATTTGGTCTTCAGCTCACCTCCACAGTGTGAGGGCTCGGAGCAGCCCTGTGCTGGGTGCGCAGCGCCCCCGGGAGGGGAGCCAGGCGTGGTGAGCTCAGCCTCTGAGCACTGCTCTGTCTGAGGAAGTGTGCCCTCTGCGGGCTAGGCGGGGCCCGCACCGAGGACAGGCTGGCCTCAGGTTGCTGCGAGTCACAGAAGCAAAGGCATATTCAAGGCAGAGGGCTTAAAAACATTTTAAATTCAATTTATTTATTTATTTTTCAGCCAGTATGTTGGCATGTGCCTATCTTCTTTGCGGCCGGGAGAGGTAGACCAGAGGGACATTGGTTCAAGGCCAGTGTGAGCTACACAGTTAAGACCCTGCCTCACAAAGAAAAGAAAGGCTGTTTTTGTTTTTTTCTAAGCATTATTGATTTTAATGACCATGTGGTCCCCCGGGGTCCGTGCTGGGGTTATCATTATAACAATGTCACCACAAGCCTTTGCTGTTCCTAGTGTTAGTTTCTTTAAAGATTCAGAACAAACCTGCCTTATTTCCAGTGTTGACACATGGAAAGTATTTGTGTGTAGGGATTTCAGTGTGGTGCTGTGACGTACGCATGCCGGAGGAATGGTGTCTTGTGGTCTTGGCACTGACTAATGTGTCACGCTGGGCCTGTAGCAAGCACATCGCCATTCACCATCTGAGCCAAGCCGCTGGGCCTTTTTGCTTGAGTTCTGTTATCAGGCAGTGGTTTGTTTTTGTCCAGGCCTGACCTTGGGCTGCTCTTCTACCTCTGCCTCTCCCAGGGACAGGCTTCCGGGTGTGCACTTGTGTCTGCCTTGTCTGTTGAGATCGGAGTCTCACTAGCTTTCTGGCCAGGCTGACTTTGTCCACAGCCTTTCTGATCTCCCCCTCTGGAGGACCTGGATTATAGGTGTGCAACCGCACCCATCCTCAAATTTTGGAAAGATTAGCTCAAGCTAGACAACATACTTATCACTTCACCTGTGTCTTTGTGGTGAGCTTATGTAAAAATTCTTTAAAAGCATTTTCCGGTGTGGAACACATTATAATTACGATACTGTATGATATTGTTCTGAAACCTATTCCTCCCGTTTAACTGGAAGTTTGTGCGCTTTGATCACCATCTTTCATTACAACCCCTAATAACCACTGTTGGGTTTCTGCTGCTATGTTTTCATTTGAAAGAAAGAAATACTCTTGACTAACAAAAAAGTCAGCCCAAACTCTCACTACTAATGTTCCCTTTTCTTTTAAACAGTTTTCTAAGATTTTGAGGGAGTGGAAGGAACACTTCATGCACACATGTAGTAGAGACTTTGCGTCTGTAATATTCCTCTTCGTGTCCTACTGTTTTTGTAAGGTTTCTGTCCTGCCATTTCACTGTCCGTTTTCGGGTTCTTTTCTGTCAGCGTTTTGTGGATATTCTAGTTCCATTTCTTCTCCTCACCTTTTTGAATGTCACCTCATATTTCTCACAGTTTCATTAACCTCAAATTGAAGACTTTCAGACTATGTCTTCTGTTCAGATGGTGGCATTTGTCTATCAGTCCATTAATCATAGGAAGCCTGAATCGGGGGAAATCATGTTCCCGACATTTGCCTGGGGAAGGAAAAAACAGCACAAAACAGAGCTAGGGGCGTGATTCAATGGTAAGGCTCCTGCCTGGCACGCAGGAGGCCCTGGGTTCAAACTGCAACTTCAAAACAAACCAACAAAAACAAAGAAGAAACCAAGGTGAAACAAAAAGTTCACAAACCCTTCCCCCCCAAACCAAACCAAAACCTATTCCCTTGCGATAACTTGTCTGCCAATGTTAAAAAACCCTTCTGCATGGTTAACAGAGACCTCCTCAGAGTTCCCACTTGGCAAAAATTGAACATCCCCTACTTACTGGTCGTGCGTCTGATATAACACAGGCATCACAGTTCTGGTTTGTGATGCTTCTCTTCAACTAGCTGTGAGATTCTGCAGGTCAAGGTCTTTTCTTCGAGCTCCTTGGAAGTGTCAGTGCCGGGCCTAGAGCAGGCAGTAAACAAGTGCCTGGCAAATATGCTTCCTCATTAAAGACCATACCAGGGCTGGGAAAGGAGGGATGGGTCGCTTACAGCCTTGTCCTCTTCCAGCGTGAAGCACAGTATGAACTCTTCGCTGTGATAGCCCACGTAGGGATGGCAGACTTCGGTCATTACTGTGCCTACATTCGGAATCCAGCGGATGGAAGATGGCTCTGCTTCAATGACTCCAATGTTTGTTGGGTGAGAACCATCATCTAAACTTTCCTCCTTCTCTGAATTCTCAGCTCAGAGTTGAAGACGCATTATGGTCTTGTAGTTTGTGTGTAGGAGCTGGGGAGTTTTGTGGTTCAAAGCCATTCTCTAGGTTTATTGCTTTATTTATTTATTTTCTTGCTTGTCTTGGGGCTTAGACTCAGGGTCTGGGTGCTGTTCCCCAGCCTCTTTGTGTTCAAGGTGAGTGCTCTACCTACCACTTCGGCCACAGCACCACTTCCGGTTTCTTCTGTATGTGGTACTGAGGAATGGAACCCAGGGCTTCATGCATGCTAGGCGAGCACTCTACCACTGAGCCACCTTCCCAGCCATGGTTTATTGCTTTCTAAGCATCTGTTTGTGTCAGTGTTAGGTTTCTGGTGCTCTTAGCCCCGTACCTTGAAGGTTTATGCTTTGTAGGAAACGTCTGTGGAGCGAGACGTTAAAGATGCAAGGTGTAAAACTCTGGGATAGGTGTAAGCATTTCAAGGTGAGTGGGGACATCACAGAGGGTCTCAGGATGCACGGCGTTGTGTCACCAGATGCTCTGATGCTGTGTGGTCGCCAGGGTGGGCTTCTCCATTCTCTGCAGGAGTCTAACAGGGCACATTACAGTGTCCCCTGTTCTGTCCACACGTAATAGCAGCTGCCAACCAGCTGCTGATGTCTGTGATGTTCTTCCAGGTGTCCTGGGAAGACGTCCAGTGTACCTATGGAAATCATCACTACCGCTGGTAAGAGAAGCACTTGGGGGAATGGAGTCCACTGGGTTCTTGGAGCTTTATGAAATCTTCACGGATGAACTATTGCCTTTATCCGAGAGTCCCCACTGACTACCATTCAGCCTCATCTTTCAGCAGTCATCCCTGGCACCACACTTCCCTCAGAATTTAGACTTAAGTAAAGCACTGGCATAAGTCCCAATACCATGTCCATCATCTTCTGTAACTGTGTACCTGTATTTTCTGGTCTCTATGACCCTGTCCTAATTTATCTTCTGAGCAAGTGCCTAGTGGTGTTTTGATAATCACTGTCTTTCCTACTGCGCAAAGCTTTACTGATGGGCCCCAGCGGATTGGCGGGGCTATCTTATCAGTACCGCGCTAACCGATTGCACCGCTGGAGCTCCAAAGGCAGGGCTATCTTATTTGCTTTCGTTGCTTTTTGAGCAGGCCTCCTTTATTACACTTCAAAATGTTTGTTGATTTTGCGACTTTTCCCCTCACACCAGACCATGTGCTTTTTTTTTTTTTTTTTTGGTGCTGGTTCTTGGGTTTGAAGTCTAGGCCTAGGCATTGAGCTTTTTCACTCAAGGCTAGTGCTCGACCACATGAACCACAACTCCACGGCCTGCTTTTGTGTGGTTAATTTGAGATAAGAGTATCAAAGACTTTTCTGCTCTGCTGGCTTTGAACCTGAATTCTCTGATCTAAGCCTCCTGAATAACAAGGGTTACAAGTGTGAGCCAGTGGTGCCCAGAAGACCAGGGGCCAGGACCACTCTTCTCTTTCTCAGTAGGCATCAGGACATGATACTGACGTAGTCATTAACCTAGAGAGAAAAGCTGGATAAAGTTAAGGTAGAGATTTTTATATGTACTGGAGGTGGAAATGGAACTGACAGTGTAGGTACTGGAGGTGGTATGGGGGTGACAGTGTAGGTAGTGGAGGTGGTATGGGGGTGACAGTGTAGGTACTGGAGGTGATGTGGGGGGGACAGTGTAAGTACTGGAGGTGGTATGGGGGTGACAGTGTAGGTAGTGGAGGTGGTATGAGTGTGACAGTGTAGGTAGTGGAGGTGGTATTGGGGTGACAGTGTAGGTACTGGAGGTGATATGGGGGTGACAGTGTAGGTACTGGAGGTGGTATTGGGGTGACAGTGTAGGTACTGGAGGTGATATGGGGGTGACAGTGTAGGTACTGGAGGTGGTATTGGGGTGACAGTGTAGGTACTGGAGGTGATATGGGGGTCACAGTGTAGGTAGTGGAGGTGGTATTGAGGTGACAGTGTAGGTAGTGGAGGTGGTATTGGGGTGACAGTGTAGGTACTGGAGGTGGTATTGAGGTGACAGTGTAGGTACTGGAGGTGGTATGGGCGTGACAGTGTAGGTACTGGAGGTGGTATTGGGGGTGATGGTGCTTGTACCAGGTGATATTCAGCTACATCAGTAGGCTTGATTTCATAATTAATGGATTAGGTGGAGCTTATGTTTGATATCTTCCTTTTACCTACTTTTCATATTTTCCTTTTATTTATTCTCAACATTTCTCTTAGGTGCCTGTTTTTAGCCAATTTTTGGTTATTCATTCCCCTGTGATTTAGAATAGGGGTTAGCAAACTTTCTCTGTAGAAGTTAGAGAGAAAGTACTTAGGGTTTTGGAGCATAGCTTCTGTAGCATAGCTTCTGTAGCTGTTACTCAGCTTTGCCCTTGCAACATGCAGGGTGCCACAGACAGCACGTGAATGAATGAATGTAAGTGGCCATGTTCCAATTAAGTTTATTTGCAAAAAACTGGGTTGGAGTTGGCTTATAGTCCCATAATATGTCTGTCCCTGGTCCTTTCCTCCTTCCTTCCTTCCTTCCTTCCTTCCTTCCTTCCTTCCTTCCTTTCTTCCTTCCTTGTTTTCCTTCCTTCCTTGCTTCCTTCCTTCCTTCCTTCCTTTCTTCCTTTCTTTCTTCTAGTCCTGGGTATGAACTCAGGGCCTGGGTGCTATCCCTGAGCCTCTTTGTATTCAAGATTAATGCTGTACCACTCGAACCACAGTGCTACTTCCAGCTTTTTCTGAGTATTTTATTGGAGATAAGAGTCTCACAGACTTTTCTGTCCAGGCTGCCTTTGAACCATGACCCTCAGATCTCAGCCTCCTGAGTAGCTAGGATCACAGGCATGAGCCGTTAGCACCATGCTGTCCATGATTTGTATGTTAGCTAATAAGAACTTACAGGTTAGTTTCCCAAGTCACTATTTTCTTTCCCTTTGATGAGACGGACAGGTTAGGTAGATGAAGGTTTGCTTCATTATCCTGGAAATTTGGTCCTATTGTGAATCAATAATATATCCCCTCAACTAGGCACTGGTAGCTCACTCCTGTCATCCTAGCTACTGAGGAGGCTGAGATCTGAGGATTGCGGATCAAAGCCAGCCTGGGCAGGAAAATGTTTGTGACTCTTATCTCTAAGTAACTGGCTACAGAAAACTAGAAGTGGCTTTATGGCTCAAGTGGTAGAGCCCTCGCCTTGAGCTGGGACAGTGCCCAGGCCCAGAATTCAAGTCCCACAACCCACCCAAAAATACATACAGCCTTTCATTGTAAATGTTTCATTTTGCTATGCTGATAAATTTCTCTTTATAGGCAGGAAACTGCATATCTTCTGGTTTACATGAAGATTAGAGGTTAATGGATATACTCTAAACCTTCAGAGACTGACAAATTCATTTCTTTTCCTGTCATTGGATCTGCTGAGTCTTCTAGGAGATTCTACAATGAGGAAAAACATAAAAACTGTAATAATTTAAGTCTTAAGTTATAACCATGAATGGGTACTGGTGTGGTTTGGATGTGGTTTGTCTCCAAAGGTCCTGTGACAGAGGCCTGGTCCCTTGTCTAGCAATGTTGTGGGGCAGAATCTTTTGAGAGCTGAGGCTTGTGCAGGGCATCTGTGGCTCATGCTTGAAATTCTAGCTACTCAGGAGGCTTTGAGAGTTCAAATCCAGATAGGGCAGAAAAAGCCTTGAGACTTACCTTCCATTGACAACTGAAACAAAAGCTGGAAGTATAGCCATTGCTCAAGTGCTAATGTGCCGGTTGGGGTGAAAAAGCTCAAGGATGGACTGCACCTAAGCCCCGCGTTCAAGGCCCAGTAGTGCCCATGAACTATTTCAGCTAGGCCCCTGTCTCCCTAAGTTTCCAGAGCCCTTGAAAATGTCCCACACCTGGAGAGTAAGCATTCAACACAGGAGCCTGTGTAGGAAATTCTTATCCAAACCATAACTCTTGTGAATGAGGCACAATAAGTAAATAAAGTTATTTCTTTCAAAAGGAGTGTAGTGTGCAGCTTAATGGGGTAATTAAACACATATGCTGCTAACGACTTGTGCTATAAATATATAGCTGTGAAAGCAAAGGCCACTGGATCTTTTCAAGAAGTTGCGCTCCTCGGGACCCGGGCTGCGGTGAACACTAATGCCCAGCAGAGGGCGCTCTGGGCCTGTGCGCTGTCCTCATCAGGACCCGGGGTGCGGTGAGCACTGATGCCCACCAGAGGGCGCCCTAGGCTTGCACACTGTCCTCTCATCAGGACTCGGGGTGCAGTGGGTCCCGATTCCCACCAGAGGGCATACTAGGCGTATGTGCACTGGCCTCCTGGCCTCAGGACCTGTGGCATAGAAGACATGCAGAGGCCACGTCCTATGGACTATGAGTCCCGGCACCCTGAAGCTGAGAAAGCGCACAGGTGAAGTGGTTCTGTCTGACTCCATTCTGGGAAAATGATCAGAGTCGGATTTAGAGTTGCTTCAAATAAAACACAAAATGAAATGGATACCATGGATGTATTACAGTAACAACTAGGACCTGAAATATATATATATATTGGTCCCCTCGTGGGGCCTGAACTCTGGGCCTGGGCGCCGTCCCTCAGCTCTTCAGCTCAAGGCTAGCGCTCTACCATTTGAGCCACAGCGCCACTTCCGGCTTTTTGCTTTTTGCTTATGTGGTGCTGGGGAATCGAACCCAGGGCCTCAGGCATGCAAGGCGAGCGCTCTACCACTGAGCCACCTTCCCAGCCCCTGATCTATTAACCTCTAGTACATTGCAGTGCACATTGAAAAGTTCCACAAAATGTAAAATGCTTTTATGGGGATATGTGAGGACTGGTTTTTAGTGTTAACATCCTCCCTGTCTTAAATGATACTTGACTAGATGATAATGATTAGCTATAACTGATTTATCCTATAAAGGATTTAAACATACATAAGGGTCTAGGGTTGTTCTGACACACCACTGCAGACTGGGTTGTTTAGAGATCTGTGTTCGTAGCTCTGAAGTTTAGCAGCATGGAATAAGTGTCTTCTGGGCCACATTCCCTCAGGAGGTACAAGGCACTGTGAGTTCTAGGTCTTCTCTCAGCTTCTGAGCCTATGAGAGCAGAGTGACGTCTCTGCAGAGGATCATCCCTGGGTGCATTTCTGGGACCCGATTTCCCCCTTTTAGGGGCACAATAACAACAGGAACTGGAGTTGATCTCCTGCCAAAGCCTACTTCCATATAAGGTCACATTCCCAGGTATTGGGTGATGAGAGCATCCCTATATGAACTTTGGGAACACAACCCATTACAATGTTCCTGCCTCTGCTGGCAGCCTCTACCTCCATATTTTACCTCCCTATTGATGGGGCTCCTCTGGAGCCCCATCTCCTTCCTGGCACCCAGCAGATCACTGCTGGCCCTGACTGCTGGCTTGAGCTGACACTGAGAATTCACTGAGAGCTGGTGTAGGGCAAAGGGTCTCCTAGACTTTTAAGGTCCCAGACTGTGTGAGGAAAACTATGCCGAGAAGTTGACCCTTTACTAAAAACAAAGAGAGGCCATGAAGGGAGACCTTAAAACGTATTTCACATGGAATTCCCCCCTATGTCATACCCTGCCCAATTAGAACGGTGCCTGCTGTGCAACGTTGTGCATTCCACCCCGTGATCGATTGCCTCCTGCTTCAAGGGAGTCGATGCCTCGGTGTGCACATTGCGCATCCTCCTGTAGCTATCTCTGTAATAAAGCTCCCGTAGCTGTCTTTGTAACAGCCCCCAGCTTCAAGGATGCAGGGCCTATAACATCATGTTTCCAGAATATACAAACCCCAAGAGTAAGAATATCCACTTGCTTTGTGTGGGGACCCCAAATTTGCCCGCCAATGCAAGCCAGAATGATAGGTTAGTTCAAACAGTTCCTAGGAGTCGGACTGTAACCCACCAGCCACGGACATAAACATGCAACCCTTAGGTGCTGTTACAATCCCGTTGGCCACCTGTGCGTGGCCAGGTGTGGATGTTGCCTTTAAAAACCCTAGCTTGTGGGTTGTTCGGGGTCGCAGTTTCAGCTCCTGAGTCTGTGCTGCGACCCTGGCCGGTTAGCTCTCCACTTCCCCAAGAAAGTCATCTTTTTAAGTGAGGCTGTCTGAACAGTGGACTTTTTTTCCTGTAACACTGGGACAAGACTGCTCTGGGGTTGGGACACTACAGTTTGCAGCAGGACCAAACAGAGGCTGGTCTGTCTCTGGCACTGAGGCTTTGGGACACTTCATCAGGGCTTCAAGTTTTCCAGGGTCCTGGGCAGAAGTAGCTGCAGCTACAGGCTAGGAGGAGGAGTGGAGCACTGCAGGGGTGGGGCAGGAGCAGGAAGTGAGCGGTCCAGGGGCGGGCTGCTGGGTCGCCAAGGGTCTTGAGGACAGTGCACCATCTAGTGGGAAGCAGTGGTCACTGCACCTCTCCGGTCCTGAGATGAGGAAGATCATGTGCAGGCCTAGACCACCATCTGGTGGGAAACATTGGTCACTGCACCCCTTGGTCTTGAGGAAAGGAGGACGGTGAGCATGCCTAGGGCACCCTCTGGTGGGAAACAGCCCTCATTGCACCCCTGGTCCTGAGAAGAGGCGCAAGGTGCTCACCTGTCTATCCCGCCCTACGGTGGGAATCAGCTATCACCGCACCCTAGGTGCTGAGGAGAGGAGGACAGTGTGCAAGCCTAGAGCACCCTCTTGTGGGAATCAGTGCTCACTGCATCCTCTGGTTTTGTGGGCGGAGCAGAGCAAGAAGTGAGCAGTGCAGGGGTGGGGTTGTGGGAGGATCTGGGGTCCTGAGGAGGACAGTACACACACCTAGAGCACCATCAGGTGGGAATTAGTGAACACTGCATACCTGGCCAGGACAAGAGGAGCACAGTGTGCACACCTAGAGCGCCCTCTGGTCAGAATCAGTGCTCACTGCCCCCTCTGGTCCTGAGAAGGACAGTGTACATACCCAGAGCGCCCTCTGGTGGGAATCATTCTTAAAAGCAGCCATCAATTAAGAAAGCGTTAAAGCTCAACACTTCACTCTACTTTATCCACCGCAGCCCCTGGTCCTGAGAAGGACCGTGCACACACCCAGAGTGCCCTCTGGTGGGAATCAGTGCAGACTGCACCCTCTAGTCTTGTGGGAGGAGCAGAGCATGGAAGTGAGGGGTCCAGGGTCGGGGCTTGTGTAGGGGCAGAGAATGATAGGGGTGGGGCAACAATGAGTCCAGAGGCGGGGCTTGTGGGGAGGCAGAGCACAGGAGGGGTGTGGCAAAGGAGAAGTGAGTGGTGTATGGACGTCAGTCAGGGTACATATTAGGGTGTGTGATGGGGTATATGTTAGGGTACATGCATGTGACAGGTTACACATTTGGGATACACATAAGACGGTTACCTGGATGGTTTGGACAATGTATTAGAATTTAGAGTATTTATTAGGGTATGTGCTACGTTTAGGGTAAATGTGAAGTTGTAGTTTGTTAGGGTACATTCAGGGTACAGGTACAATTTAGAGAGTATGTGAATGGGTACTTGTTACCATATGGGTTCGTGTCCAGAGCATGTTTATTGTATTACAGTATATTGGGAATCTGTTAGGTTTAACATACATGTGAAAGTAATGGCACATATTAGGGTATGTGTTTGAGTCCATGTTAGGGTATGTGTTAGAGTTAGGGTACTTGATAGGGGATTTGTTAGGGTACATGCTAGAGTGTGTGTTAGTTAGGGCACATATTAGGGTATGTATTAGAGTTAGCATACTTCACAGGGGATTCGTTAGGGTGAAGGTACATGTTAGGATATGGTTGAGTCACATGTTAGGGTACATTAATTTTTTAAATATGTGTCAAGGTACTTGGGGTATATGTAAAGGTCAGAGTTAGAGTATGTTAGGGTACATTCAGGGTACATGTAAGGTTACCTGTACGCTTTATAGAATATGTGTTAGGGTATTTGTTATTATATGCGTGTCTAGAGTATGTTTAATGTGTTAGAGTACTATTGGGAAATCTGTTAGGGTTCAAAGACATGTTAAAGTCAGGGCACATATTAGGGTGTACATTGGGTTACTTTAAGGTACAAGTTTGAGTGTATTTAAGGGTATTTGCATGGTTTTGAATAAGTGTTATGGTCATGTTAGGGTATGAGTTAGTGTTTAGAGTACATGTTAGCAAACAGGGTATGTTTTGTGCACATGCTAGGGTACATGTATGACTTGAAGTACATGTTAGAGTACTTGTTAGGATACATGTAAATGTTTAGAGTGTGTGTTACAGTATGTGTTTGGGTATGTGTTAAGGTTACAGTTATGGTTTGGGTTAGGCAACATGTTAGGAAGTATGTTGGTATAAGTTTAGGGTACTTGTTAGGGTATATGTAAGCTTTACAGTACATGATAATGGTTAGGGTCTGTGTTAACCAGTAGGGTACATGTTAGAGCATTTGTTAGGGTTTGGCTTAGAGTTAAGGTATGTATTAGGGTATGTTTGGGGTACATGCTAGTTTACCTAACTATAAGAGTACTTGCATGTATTAGAGTGCATGTAAGAGTCATTGTTACCACACATTTTAGCGTTTAGAGTGTATGTTATGGCATGTGTGTGAGTTAGAATGAAGTTTATGGTATATGTCAGGGTTCGTGTTAGAGTTAGGGTATGTGTTAGGGTTAAAGTATACGCTATAGTGTATATTAGGGTTATGGTTTGGGTTAATTAAGGG